GTAGTCAACTGCGGTTTGAGTCCTGGACCCGGCAGCTTAAAACACGCCAGGCCCATGAGCGTGTGTGTCCAAAATGCAGAGAGGAGACTAGAGGAGAAGGGATTGCAATGTGGCCATCCCCATGGGGGGTTATTTCTTGTTTTCTGTCTCTCTGGCAAGTGTATGTGCCCTATAGCAAAACCCTCTCCTGAAAAATCGTATTGTACACCATAAAGATCTACGATAATTCTAGCTATGAGGCATATGAAACAATACTCAACATCCCTCATTGTAAGGGAAATGCAGATCAAAACAACAATGAGATATCACTTAACCCCAGTCAGAATGACTAAGATTAAAAAAACAAGTGGAGAATGATTTGGAGATTCCTCAAAAATCTACAAATAAAACTACCATATGATCCAGCAATCCCACTTCTTGGTATCTATCCAGAGGACACAAGAATTCTTAATCAGAAAAGTGCTTGCACATTGATATTTATTGTGGCACTATTTACAATTGCTAAGACATGGAACCAACTCAAATGCCCCCGAACAGATGAATGGATTGAAAAACTGTGGCACATATACTCTATGAAATACTATTCAGCCATAAAAAAAAAAAAAACCTGACTTTTGACAGAAAATGAAAGAATATGGAAGATACGTTGCTCAGTGACGCAAGTCAGGCTATAAAGGAGAGACATTGTATGTCCCACTTAATATACGCCAAGTGTCTGCACTCTATGACTGAAACTGACTGACTAAAGGATATGGAAACACAGTAAATGGATGTAAATACAAGATATAGTGTGTGTGAAAGAGTAGAGTTTGAGGAAGGACATTTAGAAGAAAAATGGGAGGCAAAGCATTAAGGGCACTAAGAAATGTGGTATTATCTGTTGAAGATAATTTTATAGTTTTATCAACTGGACTAGGGAGAAATGCTCACATGTTGGAATATTCACTTTGTAAGCTAAATAATGTGATTGAATGTATAAAAGAAAATGAAATAAAAAATATTTAATAAAAAAAATCCTGGGGCCAACAGGTGGCATGGTGGTTAAAGGTGCTGGATTCCCACATGGCCAACTGCAATTTGTATCAGACCTGAGGCTTGCTTTCTTACTTTTCCTTTCTCTCTCTCTCTCTCTGTCTGTCTGGTCAAATTAAAAAATAACAATAACAAATGGAATTAAATAAATAATTATTTTTAAAAATCCTTTTTATTTCCAGATGTAAAATAAAATAAAAAAATTCTGGAGATTCTTGCAGTTTTAAACAGGAGATGATGGTGAACTAGGGTAGGAGCTATTGAAATAGAACGGGAATTTTTCCCCAGAGGTAGATAATTGTGGCAGTTTTGTTGAGATATAATTTACATATCATACAGTTCACTTATCTAAAGCAAACAATTGAATGGTTTTTAGTATATTCACATTCTAATATACTAATATGGTTCTTTGTGGTTATAAAGGTTATAAGGGGTATCCACGTGGCCCTTTATGATGGCAGTGCCAAGCCCCAACCAGCCCAAATAAGTCATAAAGCAAAAACTATTGCAAAGGAGAACAGTGATAGAAAACAGAACACAGTCCCCACCCACCCAAAAACAAAAAAACAAAAGCAAAACCTTAGCCATCACCTCTCAATCTTCCCATTGTCTCCAGTTCTGGCAACCAAACTACTTTTTTAGTGTACAGATTCCCCCATTCTGAACATTTCACTTAAAGGGAATCATGGGTGCGTAACCTTTTGCGATTGTCTTCTTTCACTTTAGTGTTGTTTGTTTGTTTGTTTGTTTGTTTTGAGAGGTTTTTGCTATAGGGTATGTGCGTTCCCCAGAGAGAGACAGAAAGCAAGAAATCACCCCCAGCGGAGATGGTCATGCTGCAACCTCTTCTCCTCCATTCTCCTCTCAGGATCTTGGGCATGAACGCACACACGCCCAGCGTGAGTTTAAGCCACTGGGTCTGGGAGTCCAGTGACATAGCCATTACGCTAACTGTTGGTCCCCACTTGCTGGTCCCCACTTAGTGTGTTTTTAAAGCTCATCCAAATTGTGGTGTTGAGCAGAACACCACTGCACCTGTTATCAGTGCCAGAGGAGGACTCCAGCTACATGAATGATAGCAAAGACCATCACTAAGCTAAGCCAATCACCAGAAATAGAAGCCCAAACACGTTTTTTAAAAAAGAGTATATGCTCTGCCAGAGAAGCTGAGAGAAAAAAGCACCTCTCCCTTCCACCTACTCTTTACTCCCTGCCTCCCCCTATGAGGCTGGTCCTGGTCCCCCTGCAATCACTTTGCCATTTCTCCATCCTGTTAGGATTGGGGCATGCATACATGGCCCAGTGGGTTTTTCAAGCTGCAAGGACTAGGATTTGAACCATAACCAGTCATATTGGATACAATTCTCTTAAGCATTAGGCCACTGGCTGGCCTCTAACTTTGGTCATTTCTAACACTTAAAAAAAATTTTTTTTAATTATTATTTTTAACCAGAGAGAGTCACAGAGAGGGAAAGTGAGAAAGCAAGCCACCAGATCCAGGACTCCAACCATGGTGAGCCACTTGGGAGTCCAGCGCTTTAACCTCCGCGAGGAGCATAAAATCGGAGTGAAAGTGTTGAAGGCACAAGCACAGAGTCAGCAAGCTAAACAAGGGGCCGGCATTTCTAACACGTTTTCATGATTACAGGCAAATCAAAGCTTACCCACGCTGGGCACATGGGAGTCTTGAAGAACAGCAAGGCGGCTAGTGAGACTGGAGCAAACGGAAGGAAAGAAAAACAGAAAACAAGGAAGGCGGCTGCAGAGCGAGGTGGACGAGAAGAGCCCACCGGCAGCACCGGTTTCCTCCCGCCGACAGCGGTGTGGGGCTGGGCTGGTCCAAGCCGAGTCGCCAGCCTGCACGCGCCACCTAGGCCCGCCCCACCACCGCCTGCTCCCAGGCACAGTCCGGGCTCCCGTGCTTTCTTGCCAAAATGTTGTGGTGGCTTTTCTCAGCCGCAGCGAGGTGGAATTGAGGCTCTTTCAAGAAACCGGACACCACAGAACCGAGTAATTGATCTGATGAGGAGGGTCCCAGCTCCTGGCCAATCTCCCAAGACCCTTGGTTTACTCATGTCTTCCTCACAGATCTCCGAGGGTGGAGGGAGAGTGGTGGGGTGAGCCCAGAGGTGGGTGATGTGCAGAAAGACACCTGGGACTCATTTAAAGACTGTCCTGTTTTCTACAACAGCTGTCCTTTACAATGCTTTTTGCTTTGCCGCGTATCTGGGCTCTGGGGGTCTTGGGCGCTGCCATCATAAAGGGCGGCAACGAAGACCCCTTATAAGCCTGATAACCACAACGAGCCCCTGTACCGCCCGCCCCCGCTGATGCAGAGCCCCAGTCACAAAGGCCAGAGCCTCACACGCACCCCAGGCATGGCCAGTGACTATGGCATGATAGCTATGAATATGTCTGGAGGATCACTCGGACCTTCTACCTTCTACGTTTGGCTGGGGCTTTCCTCGCTTGAATAAAGGGAGATAGTAATAGCTTTAAGTAGGGTTGCCACATTTTTATTTAGCAAATAAAAATGCAGGACAACCAGTTAAGTTAGAATTTCAATGAAAAAGCAGATCGGTTTTTTTTTTTTTTCTGTGTCTCAAGTGTTGTTTATTTGAAATTCAAATTTAACTGGGAATCAATTTCAAATGTAACTATATTTAATCTGACAACTTGGTTTTGTTTTTGTTTTTTGAGTTTTTTTAGGAAGAATTATTTAATTTTACTCATTGTCATATTTTAATTTTATTTTTTTGAAATTGAACAGAGAGAGAGAGAAGGAAAGTGAGAAAGCAAGCTGCCAGGTTCAGGACTCAAAACACGGTCAGCCATGTGGGAGTCCAGCCACTTTAACCACCTTGGTATTGTTTTTGTTTTTAAAGAATTTTGTCAAGGTTTGTGGACTCACTCTCCAGAGAGAGAGGACAGGCAGAGACGAAGCCATGTGGGAGTCCAGCCACTTTAACCACCTTGGTATTGTTTTTGTTTTTAAAGAATTTTGTCAAGGCTTGTGGGCTCGCTCTCCAGAGAGAGAGACAGGCAGAGACAATGAGAGGAAAAGTGAGAAATCACCCCCTTAAAGGATAGCCATACTGCAATCACTTTTCTGCCATTCTTCTCCTGGGATTTTGGACATGTACGCACATGCACCCGGCATAATTTTCGAGCCACCGGATCTTGGACTTGAACCATGATTGGCCATGTGAGAGTCCAGGGATGTAACCTCTATGCCATCTTCTGGCCCCTGTTTTTTTGTTGTTTTGTTTTGTTTATAGAGAGATTTTTGCTATAGGGCACATGCAATTGCCAGAGAGGCAGAGAGAAAGTGAGAAATCACCCCCCAAGGGGATGGCCATACCACAATCCCTTCCCCCTCCATTCTCCTCTTGGGATTTTGGGCACACGTGCATACACACTCAGCATGAGTTTCGAGTCGCCGGGTTCAGGCCTCTAACCAGAGTTGGCCATGTGAGAGTCCAGTGTCTTTAACCACCGTGTCACCTGCTAGCCCAACGACCCTGTTTTAAAATATTGTCAGGAGACAATGTATGAACAGTCCTTAGAAGAGCGCCTGGCACAAGTTAACACACAAAGTTTATTTATGTAAATGGCTCCAACCCCTTCTCCAACATGTTAATGTCTTTAGACATCTGGCTATACTCTCTCAAATGCCCGGTCTTCTGGCACACTGTCATAAAAGGCCAGTTTATATCCTCCCACCATTCCACTTCCATTCCACTATCGAAGTGCCAGGTTCTGCCTGCCTCCCATCATGTGGCACATTCATGTGGGGACTTCCAGGCTCTTGGTAATGTTGGTGCTGTCACTGGATGTGTGTGTGTGTGCTGGGGGAGGGGGTTGGGGCAGTCTGATGCATTATGATGTTGGAACCAGTGACACTCTCTGGGAAGGTGTAACTAGACTTTGTCTCTTCTAGAATTAGGGGCGTGTAACCCTCTGTGGAGGATAAAGGTGTGTGAGGTGCGTGAGCTAGGAGGGAATGGGGAGTGAATGGAGAGGCCTTCGATGTATGACGTTAGCCACAGATTTCCCAGCTGGGAAACGTATACTGGGTGGCACTGGCCCAACTCCTGAGGATGTCTGCCACGTGTGAGATAAGACTTTGTTCATTCTGAGAAGTCTAAAGGAGAAGGAAAGCGACAAGCCTAGGATTATACACGTAAGTCTGCTTGCCTCTGAGGTTCGTTTCATCTCTCTATTCTCCCTCAATCTCAGCACGTCACTTCACTTCTCTTACAATAACAGCACCTGAATTTATATTGCATTTTTTATTATAAAGCTTTCTGAATGTCATCATTTCACTTTGCTTTCCTAAATACTTCAGAGAAAAGAAAAGGAGCATTCCTCCCCAAGGTCAAGTGGGGTTCAAGCGAAATGTCTGACTCTCATTGTAAACCTGACGGAATGGGTTTAGCCCAGGATTTAGACAGAATTGTCAGTGCCCCATTTTCCCAGTAAGAGCTCCCAGTCTCAGATTACCAGAGGAAGATTTAGGGAGCCACTGAGATTGTGGGGTCTGATTCCCATTTCTCTTCACATCCTCTTGCTGTAGCAGCCCATTTTCTTTTCTGCATTTTCTTTCTCTAGTGGCATCTTTCTCCTGACATTTTGACATGTTTAATTTTCTCATTAAAAACTAATAAACAGAAAATCTTTGAGGTCAGCAGGTTAAGGTTCTGAATCCCACATGTTCACAGTTCTAGTCTCGGTGGCTTGAGAATTATGCCCAAGTGCATGTGCATGTGTGTGCATGCAAGCCCCGAAATCTGGAGAGGAGAGTGGAGGAGAAAGGATTGTAGCATGGCCGTCCTCATGAAGGGCGATTTCTCTCTCTCTTTCTCTCTCTCTCTCTCTCTCTCATCTGTCTCTAGGAAGTGCACGTGCCCTATAGCAAAGAAAAAAGAAAAAAAAAATCTCTGCAGGAGCCAATCATTTAGTCTTCCCATGCATGTCCTTCAGGAGTTGTATACAGGATTTTGGAGAGTTTAAATTTTACTTGTAGTAGAAATTGAAATGAGGTAGTGATTCTTGCTAAGAGGAAGACAAATGCTTAAAATTATCAAATTAGGTACAAGGATCCTAAAGGATTTCCCCCAAAGTACACCAGTACTGACCAGGGTCCCCAACAAGATAAGTACAGAAAGATAGTGTAAGCATTTGGAAACTTTTGTAGCAATTTTACAGAGTAATCTATGTTTGTTGGACTTAAAAGAACTCTGGTGTTAAGGCACAATGGTAGCACAGCACTTCAGGATGCGGAAGTCACATGGGAAGATCACAGGTTGGTATCTCGAGGTCTCCCTGTACTAATAGGTACATACACATGATCCTGGCTGAGGCTGGGGGTGGATCATTGTGTGAAGATCACCAATTGGGAATACCCCCCTCCTCCTCCTCTTCTCTCTCTCTATGTCTCTTTCATGGGAGAAATAGATTTTTTTTTAAATCTTAAGTTAAAGTCTTTCTTTGACCCTGTATTCTTTTCTGTCTTCCTCACTTGTTTTCTTCCCTTTTCCCTCCCCGCCCCACAAGCTTTTGAAAAGCTATCCCTAATGGTCTTGCATTTCTTACCATTCATTTATTCCTTAGCTCCTTCCAATCTGACTTCAGGAATCACTATGCTATTGATATTCTTCTCACTGAAGACAGTAATACCATCTGTCTATTCCACTCTTTGGGTTCTTTTACTTGACCTTTCTGTTACAGTTGATTTTCCTTCATGAAACTCCTCCCCTGGTTTCTGGGAGAACTTATATTTCTGTCATGCTCCTTTTCAGCGTAGTACCCAATAATTAATCTGATTACCAAGTCTCCTTCGGTGATGCATATTCTCCTATGGGCATTCTCCTCCAAGTACAAGATTTTTGCCCTCCCTGTAGGTTGGTCGTTTTTCTTTCTTTCTTTCTTTCTTTCTTTCTTTCTTTCTTTCTTTCTTTCTTTCTTT